AAAAAAAAATTTCAGTTCTTGGCCAGGCGCGCTGGCTCACACCTGTAATCCTAGCATTCTGGGAGGCCAAGGCGGGCGGGAGGATCGCTTGAGCCCAGGAGTTCGAGACCAGCCTGAGCAAGAATGAAACCCTGTCTCTACTGAAAATATAAAAAATTAGCCAGACGTGGTAGCCTGTACCTATAGTCCCAGCTACTTCGGAGGCTGAGGCAGGAGGATCACTTGAGCCCAGGAGTTTGAGGTTGCTGTGAGCTAGGTTGACGCCACGGCACTCTAGCCTGGGCAACTGAGCGAGACTCTGTCTCAGAAAAAAAAAAACCACAAACTTCCAATTCTTCAACTTTCTATGCCAGTGTGTTCCAGATTTTTATCACTATTCAGTTCTAAAACGCACTTAAAGCTCATTGCATTCTTTAGTCTCCTGAGCCCAAACTGAGTAATGAGCCTTGAAGCTGGTCATGCCATGAAGACATGGTGTTGGGTCCCTTCTCACCGTGGTCTTATTTCCGTGCTTCTTTCTCTAGGGGCGCGCCCAGAACGGCTTTCCGTGTTTGATGAGGAGTGCTGGCAGCTGATGGAAGCTTGTTGGGATGGTGACCCCTCGAAGAGGCCTCTCTTGGGCATTGTCCAGCCCATGCTCCAGGGCATCATGGACCGGCTATGCAAGTCGAATTCTGAGCAGCCAAACAGAGGGCTAGATGATTCTACTTGAAAGCAAGGACCTTTCTCTTTCATTCTCTATTTCTTTCCTTCCCCTCACCTTTTGGCCATGGGGAGAATTTGACATTTATTCACCATAGGGCACTCCCAAGGGAACTGGTGCTTGCTGGGCAACTTGAGACCTTCCAGGCAGAGATGACTCCAGGACAGTGAAGAGTCGGATGACTGAGCATATTCGGCAGTTCACCGAAGCCCCGAGCTATCCGTTTAGCAAGAGTGTCTAAGCCGTGTGAAAGCTGAGGAATGTGATGTTCTGGCCTCACAACTGAAAAGGAGGCAACTGTTACCATTGTCTACTCACTGTATAAGTTTCTAAGACAACAAGTGGGACACTGCGTGGCAACAGTATTAAAACCTGTCGTTTTCATGATTTGAGCTCCAGCTAGGAATCATTTGGTCAGGACCCTTAGAAAAATGAGCTTAGTTCTGGGATGATGAGAACATGGGGACAAAAAAAAAAAAAAATTTAACAGATGTCTGGTTCCTGCTATCTGCAACCAGGATGTCAGGTTGCAACAGTCAGAAGGCCGGTGAGGGAGGTGGAAACAAAGCTATGTGCTTCTTCCAGCACCAGTGTGTTCACATGTGTAGGGCCCCATGTCCCTGGTTTCTAGGGGAAGGTTTCACTGTTACATCACCAAGAGGCCAAAAGAAGACAGAAGAGAGAGACACACACACATACATACACACACATACATACATACATACATATATACATAAGCTGTTGGATTTTGAGTTACTGCTAACCCCAGAACAGAATCTGTTCTACCCTTGGGTCTCTCTTTTTTTTTTTTTCCCCTTCTTTTTGTCTCAAGGTAGGAAAATTCCAGATAACATGGTACTTAGGAGTGAGTGTCCGGGCAAAACCAACCCAACGCGAAATATCTGGCTGAGACCTGAGAAGTGGGAAGTGATCCGGAGGCCGTCGCCTGCCTACAAACCTAATGAAAGGATACCAGCTTGCTTTTAAAACTTAACAGAATCAGAAATTATTTTTGTGTTTGAGTCTAACACACTGATGTTTTTAAAATTTTATCACTGAGCTTTTGAACCAAGGTTTCTTCTGCAATTTATCCCTTCTTTTCACCTTATTTTAAATATAATCTTTTAGAAGAAAAAAAGAACCAGACAAAAGAGAAGAACACTCCTCTGGTAGTTCTCTGTGTATGTGACTCACCCCTCTGTGTGAGTACCTGGGAAGCTCCCCTCCCATGGCGTCAGGAGGTGGCGTGATGGTCTTTTGGAGAGTTCTTTATAAAGGAACATGAGGAGAGAAACTCTGATTCCAGGCAGAGGAAGGGGAACAATTTAAACATTGGTGCATGTCAGATCTTGACTTCAAGCCTTTCTCAACCAAACTGGTCCATTAGATTCAGAAAAACAAGTAGAAAAACCCAGTGGAGGTGAGTAGCCTCCCTCTATCTGCCTAATCCCCAGGAACTGTGGTCTGGTCCCTGTGCCCGGCCTAAAGTGTGTGAAACAGGTCCCCAAATGGCTGTATAAAACAAAATGAAAAACATTTATTGCTGGGATTTTCTAGGGTTGTTTGTGACAGAATGTCCATCCCTTAAATATTAACAGTATAAATGGAGTCTATAATAAGTTTTTCATATAACTTTTAAAGTTCAGTTTTAACTGTTTGGCTATCCTGGGCTCTAATTATGATATATTTGAGCATAGTAGCCCCTAAGCATTTGCAGCTTTTGAGAAACTCCATGTAGTGCTAAAAACCTTTTTACTTGCAAATGATAGAGTAACTGGCCCAGTGTCTTTGGGTTCTATAGGTTCCAGTATTGTTTTAGTAGAATGTTCAGTTATGTCTTAGAATTTTTAACACCTATTTAGCTATACATCAGGTTACTCCATTCTTCTCAGCATTGATTCAGCTTTCCTTCACATGGGGCTTCCAGGGAGCCAGGTGTCAAATTAAGAAAGGAGGGGTGAGTAGTTTTCTACTGGCTGAAAAATCATTGTGAGTCCATTCTGTATGAAAGTTCAAGAAAAGTCTTATATAGTTCCCTTTTCCAGACTGCTTTCTTTTAACTCTAGCTATAATCAGGAATCTGTGCTTCCATTGGGGAGACCACATTCCTAATATTCTTTTGGAAGTCTTAGCTCAAACCCCAATTCACACATGGGAGGTTAGACTTTTTCTTTCCCTACTCAGAGTCCCTTTTCACTTTATCCCCAAGGCTTAGTCTGCTATCAGATACCAGTTTTCTAGCAGATTCCTCACAGTTTTTTGCCCGGTGGGAAGGGAGAAAGGGAGGGACTAATGTATGTAAGGAGATGAGTAGTTGTGTTACAGTTCATTTAAAAAAAAAAGTATTGCAAGAAAAGGTGCAAAATATTCCTGAAAGTCTCCAAGCCATCCAAAGTCCACATATGGATATTTGGGGGTGTTATTTAAATACTCAGCAGGCTGAGTGCAGGAATACATGTATATAGCATGTGTATACTTTGCTTTTGTTTTATAACATTGTCAGTTAATTTGGGGTTCTTTGTTCCTTGGCACCCATTCTTATTACAGGGATGGAATGCCATGAAATGTACTGTATTGTATATTACTTGGGAAGACACTAGGTAGTCAAAGAAGTCTGGCGGCACTTGGGCTGTAGAGAGGGCTCAGCGTGGCCAAAGTCCTGAAGATTTTACATCCCATGTACATGTCCCCAAGTGGTGAAGTGAGATTGTGGCTGGGGGAGGAGGAAGTATGGCATGAATGACCCTTACTGTGTTCTAGTCTATCCTTCTAATCAACTTAATTAGGGCAGTTTACCCCAGCACAAAAATGATGACTTGGCCATTTTTAATGAGCTTGAAGTGTGGTCACTCATTTTGCGCCAGTACCGAGCAAGAGGCCGCCCTGCAGAGCATTCGGAAGAAATGGCTGCCCCTGTGCCTGGACAGCTAGTGGCAAGGTCAGTCTGCATGGCTGAGGAAGCCTCATTTCGGCGAGGTTTCCACAGGCCTATCCTAGTTCCCTGATCCCCTACTGAGAGTAGCTGACTGATTGAGCAAGACTTTCACTTCTCGGGAAGGGGGACTGTGCTGGTTGTTCCCAGACCAAAGAGAGTCACTTTTGACTCCATCATCTTCAAGGGGACAGCCTGGGCAGAAGCTTCTCCTCATTTTTAACACTAAAATTCAAGGAAGCAGCGGAGGAAAGGATACATTACTGCCACAGATAGAAATAGGGGAATAGTAGAACTCTCAACTAGTAAATACATTTTTGTATCTTTGCTTGAACTGCCAAAGAAGGGTCACAAAGTGTTTTTCCTGATGGGAGAAGTGGCTCAGGGTTGCAGGGCTGTGAAGTGACAACTGCACTGAATGACACTTTATTTTTTGGCTTTGGCTTATATTTAGCACTGAGAAGCCCGGGGGAATTGGTGAATACAGTAGCACTTTGGGAAATGAAGGTGCCCTCTGGCCTTACTTTGGAGAGAAGGCGTGCTTGGTGTTCTATTTGGCTAATCGGGCAACCTCTGTAGTCCATTTTGCATTGGAGTGGGATTAACAGCCCTGGAAGAGTCCATTGCCAAAGGAGTAGTTGCTTGCTTTGAGTTTTCAAAGCTTGCCTTTTGGATTTGCTGGATCAAATGATCCACTTTTTAAAAGAAAAAAAGTTTATCCTTCTAAATATGGGAGTGGGGTGGGTAGAGCTGGTTCAGTGTTAAAGTGGGTAAGGAGGGAGTGGCCTTGAGACTTGTATTGCAGACTCCCCTGGAGGTTTCAAGTAGCACTACTGTTGTTCTTAAAAGGGTTTTATTTTAACGTCATCTGCTTTGTTAACATCCAGTCCAGTTGCGATTGCGGAGACTGTGTGAGGACACCTGGCATTGAGGAGGCCACCTTGCCCAAATGATTGAAAAGATAGTTGGCCTGGACAGCTTGTTGTCTTTTGTCGTTATGTAATGTTTTTTTGTTTGTTTCAAAAGACTAATGTTTATTACAGTGTTAAATAAAAGTGTAACATACTAAGTGTATAGAATAAAAGTGCAATAACAAAAAAGAATTACTTTGGCACAAACTTCAGTCTTCACATTCTCTGTGTTCTTGTGCTGCCTGGCTCTTTCCATAATATTGTTACAGCAGGACCTTGGTAATTGTGTGTATTTTTAAGAGATGCAACTCTGGGGTAAGTCTTCATTTAGTGTAATTTTGAATAGTTGGGTTTGGTTTCATAGCGTATTCTATATACTTGGGAGACACAAATACCCAATGTGCTGTGTAATAAAGATCACGTTAACGTTTTAGGCTTACATCTGTTTGGCTTCGGTGTTCCCTTACCTCACTACCCATGTTAAGAGGATGTTCCCTATTTCATTCCATTTCCGTTGTGACCTGCAGTCAGATGTCTCAGTTTGCCTTAGGAGAGATTGATGAAACATGTTACTCCCTCATCAGGGGCCCTCCCCAGCCGTCATAGCTCTTGGTTTCTGGATGGTTTACATTAATTACCACTACAAGACGCTGGGGCAAGGGCATGGGAGTTAGGATAGCAGAGAAGAAGAGTACAAGGTGGGATGACAGAAAGCAATTGATTTTCCAGAGCCCACCCTGGGGTGACACCCTTTTCTCCAGCATCTTTTCAGCACGAACTTGCAGTATTCTGAGTTCATATACAAGCCCAGCTATTCTTTATTACACTGTGAGGGAACTGGGGATGTCATCTGTATACTTACTTATCTGCCTTTAGATTATTTTGAATTTGCTACGTAGGCTCACCCCACTGTTGAGATGTGCTCGCTCAGCAGTGCCTGACACGCACCGTCATGGGCCGCCACCAGGAGAGCAGCACTAACTATAGTGGCCGGGAAAGGTCAGCGTGCAGCATGCCTCTCCTCCCACGGGGCATGTTTGCTTTGGTTTGTTTTTGGTTACCATGTCATGCCGGGCTTGTGCAGCCGAGTCATTTTTTCCTGTAACTGCTTGTGATTTGACGGCCGCAGAAGGCTGGCCAGGAGATGGCAGCACATCTTAAACAGTCGGTGTGTTTGTGCTTAAAGGAAAAGCTGGGGTTGAATCTCAGTGGTTCTCAGCCTACACCCACACCGTGGTCTTTTAGTGCAGATAAGCCTCTTGTGCTTGTGAAACTCTCCGGGAACTCCAGCCACCCTTCACAGTGAGGGCCATCCCACCTTGCATGCACGCACCTTGTATTCTAGTATAAAGTTCAGTGCGACTTGAGTTTTCTTAACCTCCTCCCTTACGATTATTACTTTGGAAAAAATAGCTGCAGTATATACATTTATAGACCGGGCATACTTTTCCAAGGACACCTCCCTCAGTAAGCTTGTCCCTGAGTAGGACAATCTGGGTGATCTTCCTGGTCCTGTGTTTGGGTGGGGCTCAGGGGGAGGCCACCAAGTTTCTGAACATTACTAAATTCACCTTCAAGATTTCCACCTTTAGCAGAATCCCACGGAGTCCACAAAGTGCTAATTGAAATAGCCTCCTTTTGAGTACAGTTACCATCAGTGCCACATACTGACAGAGGCCTCTAGTGGCCCTTCTAGGGATGGCCTGTTCCTTTTTAAAGGTAGCATTTCAAATCAGTGGAAAAAGTAGATTATTTGGTAAAATTGGCTGTCCATTTGTTTTAGTCCATTCCTGCTGCTGTAACAAAATACCACAGACTGGGTAACTT